ATGATTAAGAAAACATTTTTAAAGCTCGAAGTCTCCTCTCTTTAGATCCGTGTTTTAGATAACAATCTGATCAATTTCTTATGGAGCTACATGGATATATAAATGAAGATCAGTCAAATCTCAAAATTTTTTACGAACTTCGTTTCATAGTATAAATTAAAAATTGAACATGAAAGCAATTTACAGCTTTTCAAAAAATGAATCTTTATCTTCAGTTTGAGTACTTGTGGAGTACTTGTTCGATTTTGTTTCACTAAGTTGTTTATTAAATCAAAAAGTATCTTTTTAACTTTGTCTCATAGAACGGAGTATAAGTATTCGGTATCTTTCAAAAAACAAATAAAAGAATCTGAATTTTTTCTTTAAAGTGCATCTATCGTATTTTCGATATAAAGAAACTTTTTGTATGTAAAACTTTTTTTAATGAAGCGTTAAAAATTAAATGATTGACACGTTATTATACAACTTGATATATCCAGGCGAGAAACGTTAAAAACACTATGATCTTAACGTAATTATGTCCTTTGTGTTCAGAGCAACGACTTTGACTAAAACAACTTGCTTGATTCTGTTGCAGCAAACGCGTCACATTGTAAAGAGATTTTACGATCAAATTTACGCTTAAAAAAAAATTTAGATTTTATTCATTTATCAAAGAATATCGAGTGCTACTCCGTTTGTCTTTTGTGAGCAGTTAAAATCAAAAAGACTTTTTGCTTTGATGTTAAATAAAACTCGGTAAAAAAACATAACAATTAAAAGGTATGCAAATTAAAAGTAAAGATTTATTCTTTCTGCAAACTGTATACGATTTTTAATTCACATTGTGGAACTTTGCAAAGTTTATAAAAATTTTTAACAGAGTTCCATTTATATCATTCGTACAACTTCGTAAAAAGTTACTGAGATTGTTATCTAAAGTACTGATCTGAAAAAAGATATTAAGCTTTAAAATGCTTTTCTTTAATTATTCCATTTATGATCATTTTTATTGAATTTATACTCTCTCTTGAAAATTGCTATTTTTGGAAAGCAGAATTTAGATAATTTCTTTTATTTTTTTTACGTAATGTAAATCTGTTACTAAAGTCAAGTTTGAAAATTCTATAATCTTCATACACCAAGAAATATCTATAAATTAAAGAAGAGTGATACATGTGATTAACAACGTTATTAAAAGTGCAAAAACGAATAAACATCCAAATCAACTTCATGAAAAGCGGTACACAATCCGTGGAAAAGTGTGAGGATTAAAAATAGAGAATTATTCGTGAAAAACTGCTCAGAGAAGTCGCAGTTGTTCATTGAAAGGATTAAAATCCGTATGGATCGAGGATACAGCGCACTATTCGTTTACTTACCGAAGAGAGGAAGGGTCCCTTTTCTTTTTCTTTCTTCTTGCCTGCTTCCCAACCATCTTCACCTCTACCCTCCTCAGTTCGCCGAACCTCTTCGATGTTCTCTGTGTTCTCCGGAGAGGCCGCGACCAGCAATCAACGTAATGCATCCGCAGACACACCCCCATCCACCCCGTCAGCACACACAGACGTAAATGCAACCATCGTAGGCATGGGTACGCTGACGAATACAGACTTAGTCACGACTACGGCAAATGGCCAGGGTACATACCCCCGGGCCAAAGGTCTCGATAACACGAGGGAGAGCCCCGGAGTAATGCAGACGCAGTGGCAATCTCTTCGAGAGCAACGAAATAGATCGTAGGACGTAAACCGATAGTGCAAAACCGCGACCAATATAATCAGCCAGGTTCTTTCTTTCTTTTTTTCTTTCTTTCTTTCTTTCTTTCTTCCTTCCTTTCTTTCAAAGGAAACCATCCACGAAATTCTTGCTTGCCCTATCATTGATGATATATCCTTCTGGTAAATGCCATAAAGTTCGTAACTTTAAAATTTGTTGTGCGCAGATGTTACTTCGTTTTTTGTTTGTTTAGGAGGATTTGCAGGCTCCTCGTTGAGGATAAAAAGGATATATTCGATTTCTGAAGGGAAGAATGTCCTCTCGGTGTGTATTCGAAAAATGTTTTGTGGCTTCTAACGTAAGAGCGACGTATGTATGTTTGGAAAACCGTCGGACTGATTTGGGACCATTTGGTTTCTTAGGATATTAGAGAAGTTAAATATGCGTGTGCTTCTTTATAGGCGATCCACGAAATGTGCGACTTGATATAATTTGGATAATTATACATATAACTTTTACGTGATGCAAGAGACACAGTGTACTCTGGAAAAAAAGAATAAAACTTGGAATAAAAGGTACATAAAATGTGCTTTTTATTCTTTTATCAACCTTGTCTTTTAATAACAGCCTGTCTATTGTGAAGAGAAAATTATGAAATTAAGCTATTGTTAATTCTACCATCGAATGTTTTAATTGCAAGTAAACCACTTTATATTATTAACTATGTTGCTCACAAAAGTATATTTTATGAAAATTCAAGGAATTAATTAATTAATTAATTTTTATATAAGCTTCAAAAATAATAAAATGGATCTCGACAATCGAGCAGAGCATTCCATAAATGTAACATTGTCATAATTAAAATATGTATATAACATATACATATACACATACAATGTTATAGATAAAATATTATTGTAATAAAACTGTAACAGTGTTTCTTCATGCATTCTTATAACGTTTCTTCAATTATACGTATTGTGAAAGATTGAAGCGTTTAAAATAGCGTAGACATTTTGTGTAATGCGACAGAATGAAAAGGAGATTATTTGAGAATGATACGATATTAATCTGACAATGACCTAGGATGTTAATTCGTGCTGCTTGTATGCAATAGACGTCGTTTCACTCTAACACTGGGCAGAAGTACGCGCCAGCAAACTCATTATTCTTCTTGTCCTGAGGGCGCATATCCTGCGCTCTTCGTCTACGCGCGAATAATCTTCGCCAGGATTTCGCCATTGTATTATTGTGTCTGCCACCGAGTGATAAACTGCGCATTCCGCAGGGAACACCGCTCCGCTCATTACTAATATAGTCGCACGACGGCGTCCTATCGTAGTTAACGGAGCTCTCATTGCATCCCCTGAGAAACTCGAAGTTAAGGACTCGTCCGCTTCAAAGCGGCCACCACGCGCGGGAATTCCACGTAAAAAGAATCTGGATTCTTGGATTGAGTATATCATGAGTGGCATTTTCATTCTGAGAGTAGCGAGACACTTAGAAGGAATGGAATTTATTTCTCTGCCATATAGTACATTCCCTTATAAACTATTTATTTCTATTTGTTATTCTTTTTAGGAAAATAGAGAAATCTAAAAATAAGTTCAATAAATTTGAAATTAAAATTGATTTGCCACCGTTACTACTTTAATTACATTTTATTATTTTATTGTATATATGATTAGGATTAAATAATTATATAGTTTTTTGTTAGATTTTGTTCGATTTTGTTATATAATACTTCATAAGAAAGAGAGAGAGAAAGAGAGAGAGAATCACATTGAAATGTTTTCATATTCTTTTATCGGATCAGTTAACTTAATAAAAGCAAAAAAGCAATTTGCAAGGCAAACTCAATATCTTCCATCAACAGTACGTCACCAATTCAATACCAGTGGGCTACTGGTGGATTACGGAAACTCATTAACCGACTAATACCTTTAAACGGCGAAGCCTTTTCGCTATACGTTCTAACAAAGCTGCCACAAACTTACGGATAAAACAATTTGACCCCGACCGATACGCCGATGATATACACGGTATATAATAGCCATTGCAATAACGTATCTCGCGGAGCTGGGTAAAAGGAAAGAATAGATGACTAAGCATACAAGAATCAATTTATTATCACTATAAAAGAAGAAGTACAAGCAGATATTCTTATAAAGTTTCAGGACATTTAATCATAAATATCGACAGCAATGAGACCGACTAAAATTACTTTACACACGTAAAAATAGATATAAAGTGCTGAGATGAGCATAAGATTGCTACATTTACGATTCTTAATTACACCTTTGGGAAAAGATACAAGAAAGCTTCCTCGAGCGAGAGACAAAAGGCTCATTGTAAGGCGAAAAGAGAGGAGGGGAGATTAAAAAGCGGGCGCATGCAAAATCGATCGCTGAATTATGGCCACATTATGACTGTGAAATTTGCTAGGGCCGCACTTTCCCGGCTGCAGTGAATTAATCCGCGAGAAAGAAGACTCGAGCGGCCTCCGACATGGGAGCCGCGGAAACCGATGATTCATTTCGGAGGAAGCGTGCAGGGCAACTAACGGCAGAGAACTGCTGCAACGTGGTGCACCTCGGAAGAGAATTTCCGGTAACGAGAAGCTCACCGATTAAACGATCGAAAGATGCTGACGTGCATGAACCATTGTCTAGGAAATTTGTTAGCAAAAATTATCGGGATTTCTATTAATCTCGCGGAACTTTATTGCAATTGTTTTTAATGTGAGCATAGCACATGTTTTCGAATTCGACAAATATGACTGCTTCGATAAGCAAGCTTGTTTTTCTGATATCCCTCAAATTATTCGTTGTGACTCGAGGTATATGAGATATTGTACTTCAGCTATCATAAATGGAATCATTTGATTATTTCTTTTAAATCGATTTTTTTCATCATTCTGCGTTACAACTGTTAAGAGAAAGTAAATATTTTATATAATTTTAATAATAAATAATAACTTTGTATAAAATGTGTAAAATTGTTAAGGAAAAATAAATATTTTATATAAAAGATTCTTTATACTTTATATCAGAAAATGTATCGAAATAAAATACATTATACATATGTATATATTCAAATATTTATTTTTCAATTATTTTATTATATTACTGCAGAAATAATTAGACCTGTTAATTAATTTTTGAATGAAATATTAATATAACAAGCGATATAATTATGGTTTTATTTAGTTAGTAATAAATGAAATACTAAAATGTATTCAATATATATATAAAAGATCACAATAGAAATAATTTATGAAATTCTCCTCTTTATATATTTAGCCAATAGGTATGCATTTGAAAAAGTACGAGTGGGTGGGCTCGCCTGACATCGGTGACTGTTCGTTATGGGTCAGATCAGCCACGTTAGAATTCGATGACGGACTTTGGCAATGCCAAGTAACCGCCAGTGATTTCACTACGCAGGACGCGTTAGCATCCGAACCAGCAAGGCTGGTCGTCAGAGGTAAGTGCTATGATACACAAATAGAACAGAAATTTATTTAGAACAGAATTATTTTTTTTAGTAAAAATTATTTTTTAACCAGCAAACAAAAATTTTGATTTAAGTTCTGATAAGTAATATAAGTTTTATTATGCGAATTTCAATACTGTTCTAAATATTTGGTAAAGAACGTCGAAGATATTACATATATTAGATAGATATAGCACAGATAGATATCATATAATACGTATAATAGTAATCATGATATTGTGTGCATCTATTATGAGATAGTAATTACAAGATAATTCGACACGAAATCAAGGAACCGAAACATCATTCGAATCATCTTGTTTTCTCACGTTAATGACGAAATAATTGATTTCGGAAACTCGCTCGTTAATGAAACGATTGATATGATTGTTAGATAGGGTAACTGTCCCTATTAATGCCTTTTAGCCAATTTGCTTATTATTGAATTGATTATTAAATATTGTAGCTTTAATTTTATCTGTTTACAATTAATATCGATTTTTCAACTACTTCTTTTTCTTATTTCTTTAAAATGTTAATATTTTTCTAAAAAATGTTAATATTTTATAATGCTTTTGATAAAAATAGAAAATATGTTTTTGTCCCTATTAGTGAGTCCTCTAAGCGGTGGTGGCCTTATTAATGTGTCCCCAATTTGTGTGCCTATCCACATTTGACTCATTTTAACATATAGTTACTAAAACAGGTAATAAATTTAAGCTAATTATTCATGTTACTATATATATTACATAAATCATTACTTCAATTATATTTATTTCAAAGTACACTCATAACACAACGTTCTCAGCTCCAACAGAGCACATTAATAGAGACAAGCTTAAAATCTTGCGGTACGTATTATGGATTTACATAAATTCCTCATATCTTTCGAAAAATATTTAAAATACTTTAATACTCAAAAAATAAAATATTATCTTCGGTATCGTATGCATTAATAACTTAACTTAAAAAAAAAAAAATTTTTTTCTTATTTATTTGTGCTATTTTTTCTTTATCACTTATCGAAATACAAAAGCACACTAATAGAGACAGGCATAGTAATTGGGACAATTATCCTATATGTAACGCGCAATAACTCGCATAACTTAATAAATACTCATGTAGTTTCGTACCTTAAACTTTGTCATTTTATCATCACTCTCAGAATTACATTTTACTTCATCGAATATATTTCGTACTTTTTATCCCTAAAATTATAACAGATTAATATCTCTCGTCCGGGAATCATACATTACACCGTATACGCTGATTAGTTGTGTAAAACCACCCATACGACTCCCTCGATGTTATATTTTCACCTGGTAAATCTCATGACACAATTAGCAATAAAGCGACAGGATTTATTTCTGTGACACGAAAATAGAGTTTGCCAGCATGAAAATCTCTATTTCCTTTTTTTTTAATCTTATGGTTTGCAATGACTAATTGCTGACTATAATGTAATTTGCACGTGCATTAATATTTATAAAGATAAAATCTAAATGTATTAATACAACAAGGATTTGTTTTATAACATGTAGCAGATGATTTTTTACAGGTTTTTTCTTGTAAATTACAAATCCGTAAAAATGCTCCAGCACATTAAATTTTTGAAAACAAATCCAATTAAAAAACAAAAGAAATGCATTTTTGGTTATTTTTTAAGTTGTTTGAAAAATGGTATGTCATAGATGCTCGGAAATTAGCTTGAATGAAATCTCAAACCTTAAACTATAATCGTAAAATAAGGATAGATAAGTAACATGACAATTATTTTTTATAACACAAATTTTTTGAAGAGCGCGTACCATTTACAGCGTGTGTGTATGTGATCCACTACATTATTTCTCTAAACAGATTGGAATTTTTTAGAAAACATCCAAATCATATGTTATTAATATAGTTATCTAATTGATTAGTTGATTTGATGTTAAATAATTATAAGATATTCGTTACATATTGTAATATTATATGTATATTATTTATATTACATATGCAATTATATGTATATATCACAGTCAAAGTGTTAATTTAGTAAATGTATACATTGACTACAGCAAACTACAATAAATGTATACATTTACTGAGTTAATACTTTGACTGCGACATAAATACATATAATTATAATTATTTACATCTATTACATCTATACGCTATTTTTAATTATAGGATTTTTTAAACAAACAATCTGTATAGGAAGACAATATAGGATGACTTACGCACATGTAGTTAATGAGTACTTTTAAAAAATTTATGCTACAAAATTTATCATGTTTATTTATCATTATTTTACGGTTATACTTCAAAGTTCGAACTTTTATTCAAGTTAATTTCGCGAATAATGTTCTATTTTTTTAAAGAATTTGAAAAATGGACAAAAATGCGTTTTTTTTTTACTTTGCAACTCGGCTTTTTAAAACAAAAAATCTGACATGTTTGATCATTTTAAATTGTGGATTCGTAAAAAACTTATCAGACTCACCTGCTTTATGTTATAAAACATAAAAAAAGTTTAAAAATGTTGCACAGTGTATTTTATTGTGCATATAAAAAAATTGTATAAAATCTGATGATAAAATGTTAAATTTATTGATATCGTGAATTTGTAAATAATATGTATCATTCTAGAAGTAATATAATAATATATTTTTCTATATTATTATGGAATTTTAAGAATCCTATTTTCAGTTGAAGTTAATCTTGATGCTTAATATTTATATATAAATTTACAAATATATTTAATAGTTCTATAAATTGCTTACTAATTCAGTTTGTCGGACTTGAGACGCAATTATAAACTGAAGTTGGAAATGACATCACAATCTATATTGATGGTTAATTAATAATAATAAATAATAAATATCTTAAAAGACTGCAAAGAATGTATAAATTTACATATGAATATTACTAATTGTAAGCATCAAAATTTGTTTTAATCCAAAAATAGAATACTTTCTTTAATTTATTAATAACTTACCGATCTAATTTTTACTTATTAATATTTTAACTGCTGATCACACAATTTACTATTATCATTTAAATCAATATGATTAAAAAGCTCTAAAAAATAAAAAATAAAAACTTTTACAGAAAGAGATCTTACATTAACAAACGGAACCATCAGATACCAGAGAAAACAAAACTTTCTAAATAAAATATTAGCAAGAAAATAAATGACATTTTGGATCAAGTAGACTCGAACAAACCAGCGGACTTAAGATTATTTTTGTTCAATTTTATCTAAAATTAAGAGGATATTTAGTATTTTCACGGGGCCAGATGGGTATATCACCCCGACTGCGCGAGTGATGGCATACGGTGGGATTAATCCGTGCTAATTTTCTCATTCCAGTCAGCCCTCAGCGACCGCAGATAGAGTACGCCGACCGTCTAATTCTCCCCGGCAGCAACGTGACAGCCCGAGCAGGTGAGATCGCTACGCTCACTTGCAGAGCGCGGTATGGGAATCCTTCGCCTCTAATTAAATGGTTCGTAATTGTTGCACGTAGATTCCGTACTACTTAACTTGCGCGCCACCGACCCTCTTGCTTGGCACGCGCGATCTCTCGCTTCGCGTGTCTCGCTCGTTCTTCGGCTCGCTCCTCGTCTTCGTCGCTGCATTTCCTTCCGCTCGTTGCGAATGTAATTATTCGACAATTTATAGAGCTTACAGATTAAATGGAATGTATCGGTAATAAGAAGAAGAAGAAGATGGAAACACATGGTACAGGATATCGCCGAATCGCATTTGCATTTAATTTTTAAGCGAGGGCATTTGACATAATACGAGCGTGATGTAACATTTCAATTTTGCTGGAACTAATAATCACGTTGTAGGTCTAATTGAAATTGCGAAATTGTAACATTATCCCTTAATACATATTGGTTATTAGTTATTACGATTAATATTATCACATGGCTCATTAATCGAATGGGAAAAGACACACTCTGGGTAATTGGAAAGTCTAAATTCGGACCCTGCCTAGGAAAACATTTTAAATTCTTTGTAGTTTTAAAGTGCTTATTATTCTTATTAGTATCATTATTAAATTGATGATTAATTTAATTTATGATATTATTTCAACGTGCGTTTATGATTTCGATAAACGGAACACAGTTCATATAAATGAAAGATATATTTTTTAATTTACATAGAAATATTGTATACGTATAACAGTCTCGACCGTATTTAACTTTATTTATTTTATTGAATATTTCTTTTCTCTCTTCTAACAGTAAAAATCTGCTTTTCGCCGTGATTTTTTTTCCATTGGAAGCTTTTCGAGCTCCGTGATTGAACGGGTTGTCTTAGGTAATCAAAATATACGTTACTATCGATTCCAAGGCGTCTTCTACCGCGCGCCTCTTCTTTGGCCGTCGTCGGAGCGCTTGTTCCCGTTGCTCGAAGATTCCACGTAATGCATCGAGGACGCTGTCGATAGTAGAACACGCGCCCCCATGAATAATCATGATCTATTCTGCATCGTGCCCGGGCGAAATTAAGGAGGCTACACGATGCATTTCGTGCGACAGGAAAACATTGAAAAGGGAGTCTCACGCAATGGATGAGCGAATGGTAAAATTCTTGGTTTGGTTTTTCTTGAATCCCGACATTGCGCGATGGTCCCTCCGAGAGCGTGGAAAAAGCTCGCGCGGAAGCGGGATTTAATAATTTTAAGGCGGAACAAAAACAAGAGCCTTGGTGGAAGAGAGAGAGAGAGAGAGAGAGAGAGAGAGAGAAGCACGCAATCTCTCTCAGCTTTAAACCTTGCAATTTTCGGTTAGCAGGACAGTGTCCGCAGAGCCTCGGGTCGCGTTTCAAATTGCAGACGAGGTCCCTTGACAAGGCGACCGTTCTCCTCTGCCAGCCCTCAGTTGCTCTCGCTTACCCACTTACTCACTGGGAATTATCTTAATTGACACACGCGACGCAGCGCAGAATATGTGTATGCATAAACGTTTTAATTATGGTTGAATTGAGAGACCGGGACGGACTGGTGTACAATCGACGACGAGTATTGAGTTTCTAATAAAAAGACGATTGTCGACAAACGAGATAGTTATCGTTGTAGTTGTTACAGACAACATTCGAGATGAATTTAATACGACATTGTGAATATAATAATTTGCTCTTTTCTGTTTACGATACGGATTCATGTTTTCACTTCCATATTATCTTTCGTATTATAATAACTGAGCACTGAGAGGCTTAATTCATGAGAGTACCGCCATTAGTTGAAGTCCGCGAAACTGCAAGACTCCCGAAGAGCAGAGTTCTGAATAATCCGCGACAATGAGCTTTGATGGGGAAGGTTGAGAAACAAGACAGGAGAACGTGAGGATCAGGTAGAGAACGGCAGCAAAACGGCGCGGGCGGGGAACGTGTGCGAGATAGAGCGAGCCCGAAGAGGAAGATGACGAGGAGAGGAGGGTGTTGAAGGGGAGCGAGTAAGAGTTGTTGCAGAACAGCCATTGGAAATGCAAATTTTCGGGGCGATATGCAGGTACGTGGGCGAGACTGAGATGAGGACGTTGCGGCCCCAGGTAAACTCAACTGAGATAGATAATCCGCGCACTTGGGCAACCTACAGCGTTTGCGAGATTCTGGCCGAGCGATCACGTTACGGGCAGCCGATCAGATGCGTCGCTATTCATCCGGCGTATGCCAATCCCACCATGTCGTCCAGCACCGAAGTGAGATTCGACGTGCGCTGTAAGTAGACGCGATTTTCTCATAAGATTACGAAGAAGGAACTCATCAAACTCTTGGGAATATGCAAATGCATCGATTATTATAAGAGGAGGATAGTAAAATAAAAGTTAATGATAAGAAAAAGGAATAATAATGGCGAATCTAGAGTGATGCGGAAATATAACGGGAGATAAAAGTTTATATTTATAGAGGAAAGATCCCTATTATGAGATACCAGGTTCATTTTCGGTAAATGCTGGAAATGTATGGGCATAGAATTTAAAAAAATAATAGGCCATTTTAAAGGAAATTTAATAAGCTTTAAGATATTGTTATGTAAAATTTAATTTAAATACTACTTTAAATACTACTTTTTCTGAAAATTAAAGAAATGTAAAAAGTGAGCAAATCGCAAAGTCAAAAAATTGTGCTTATAATATGAGATATTCTGAGAAATCAATAACAAAGCGCAAAGTACATCAATATTGCGATTAAAAAAAACTTTATTTAATGTTTCTAAAATACAAACAAATATAGTAATGTGAGTGCAAAATGATTATTCTCAGGATTATCTTCAGTGGTTGGAATGAAACATCGCAGGCACTCGATGTTCATTCCGGTTATCCTTTTTATTACTGTACAATACATTCATACTTCAGCAACGATTGTCACTCGAATATAGGAGTATACTTCGTATATTAGAAGTACCCTGAGTATCTCATATTACGAGTTCTACGCCTTACGGTTTTATGATCATAAAATCTAACTTCTCTAATTAAGCAATATTCAACATATCCCATTATAGAAGTTAGATTTTATGATCATAACATGAAGAATTTATTGATAACAAATATTCACTCATTAAATAATAAACAAGGTTTAAAGACTCTCAATAAAACTTGAAAACATCTAAATTCTGAAATCTTTTTTCACAAATAGGCATGATCCAATAATGCATTTTTCACCAAATAGTTTTCAACTTAAGAGCAATAAGTTCATGGTGGAATCCATAGATAGCATTTATTAGTTTAGCGTTCATATTGAGCGCCAATAAGGGGATTTTCTTTAATATTATGGAATTTCAAATTTACATATTTAGAATTTTACACCTTTAAGAAATGAGATTATATTATCGTTATAAAATGATTGTCAATCGTCTTTAGTAGATAAATGGAAATTAATTGACTTCTCCTAAAATTTATAATTATTATTAAGATAAATATCTTGCTAAATCTTGCTAAATAAACGTCAAATGTCAAAATACGGCTTATATGTTTGTGTTGTAAATATTTAGTGACGTATGATATAATAAGTAAACTCTTTAATAAACTCAGTTCAATGAACTCGTCTTTCTCCCCGAGAAAATAGAACTCTGGTAGGATAGTTTAATCCTTCGTCGTTCACAAAGTTTGTGCCTGAATACAGACGAGTTTGTAATTGATTATGAACGATGACAAGAATCGTTGTCTCAGCGGATTATAACGGCTTATTAAGTCTTCTTAATGGGCATCACTAATCTGAAAATATACGTCTAGAACGGGAGGAAATACGTATGGATAGGAAATTCTTATCTAATTATGAAACAATGCAGAATGAGAGAATAATAAGATGCGCACTAAATATACTATAATTAGTAATTATTACGATTTCGATATCTGACAATTTGAAGAGATAATAGCACAATAGTCGCAATGAATTCTATCAAATATTCGCTTGTATTAAATTTTACACAGTTTTGTGCTAAATATGACGTCAATGTTGAATCAACGGGCTTTATTCCTATTATCCTTTAATAGGACATAAATATTGATTACGCGAAGCGATATGCGTTAAATTTAAAAAATACATCATTGTAATAAACACTTTTTTAATTTTTTAAGACAAAACATTATATGATTATTCTTGTCTATATTCGCGAAAGAAGCTGCTTTCTTTGAAGAAGAAAGAACCTCGAAATAAAATGCGCAAAGAAGAATGGAGTGGTAGGCCGAGATTAAGGTTGCGCCTCTCTTCTTTTTTTTTTTACATAGTCCTGCCGGTCATCAAGTATGTTGTATGCATAATGGAAACGGCGGAAGAAGGCAGAAAATATACGATCCTGGATACTTCCCTTCCTTCTCAGCCGCCACCTGCACGCGTAGAAATATATTTCTAACTATAATGAAAAACTTTCAAACAAATCTCCAGCAGCGTTGCTTGCTGTTACATTTAACTTGCATAATTGATGTAATACGTTTTTTTACTACATCGAATTCTATTTATAGAACTGTTTCATGGAAATAATTCGATATTTTTGATAATAATGCTATATTATAAAGGGTGATCGATAGAAAATCGTTACGATTTTCTCATTTACAAATATATATTCTCATATTTTGAATTAGCGCATTTGAATTAATTATATTATTCTTATTCTCGCGCTTTTCATCTAAATTTACAATTCGTTAATAATTAATCGTGATTATTTACTATGTTTACAAATATTCTCTTTTTAAAGAGAAATAATCTAGTTATTAGTAAACTAAATTAAAAGAAGTAAAATGCAATCGAAGATATTTAATTAAAGTTGTTACAATTATAAAATCATTAAAGTAATTTCTCTCAATCTGCTATTTTTGATATTCTATTTCTTCTATTCTATTTAAATACATTTCGTATTTGATTTTAACATAATATCTAATAGTTGATATGATATATTTATTGTAGTATATAAAGTGCGATACGGAATCAATATATTTTAAAACAAGAGAAATCCATTATGTTATTAAAAATTAAAGAAAGACGCGCTCTCGGCCATATCTTCAATACGATAAAGATCAGTTGAAGGAGTACGATATTTTTTATCGTATTATCAGACAATAATATCAATGCAAAAATGCATTTAATAAAAAGATTAGGAAAGTATAAATAATGTACGTTTCTCGCACCAATTGTAGGG